TGCAATAACTTGAGTGCTCAGGTGAGACAACATAATTAGAGGTGAGCAGTGCAATAAATTGAGAGCTCTCAGGTGAGACAACATGATTAGAGGTGGGCAATGCAATAAATTGAGTGCTCAGGTGAGACAACATGATAGAGGTGGGTAATGCAATAACTTGAGTGCTCAGGTGAGACAACATGATAGAGGTGGGCAGTGCAATAAATTGAGTGCTCAGATGAGACAACATGATTAGAGGTGGGCAATGCAATAAATTGAGTGCTCAGGTAAGACAACATGATAGAGGTGGGTAATGCAATAACTTGAGTGCTCAGGTGAGACAACATGATAGAGGTGGGCAATGCAATAAATTGAGTGCTCAGGTGAGACAACATGATAGAGGTGGGCAATGTAATAAATTGAGTGCTCAGGTGAGACAACATGATAGAGGTGGGCAATGCAATAAATTGAGTGCTCAGGTGAGACAACATGATAGAGGTGGGCAATGCAATAAATTGAGTGCTCAGGTGAGACAACATGGTAGAGGTGGGTAATGCAATAAATTGAGTGCTCAGGTGAGACAACATGATAGAGGTGGGCAATGCAATAAATTGAGTGCTCAGGTGAGACAACATGATAGAGGTGAGCAATGCAATAAATTGAGTGCTCAGGTGAGACAATAGGATTAGAGGTGAGCAGTGCAATACATTGAGTGCTCAGGTGAGGCAACGTCATTGTAATGCTGAATCTGAGTAAAACACTACATGTGATAACGCCCCATAGATTATGTTGAAAGTTAGTGACTTGGATTCAGAATTATTGCAAACATCTTTGAGAATTTTTATATTGATGGCTTTTGACTGTATGTTATAGTACATAAGTTATTTTTCTTTAACTGTATGTTGAGGTGATTATGAAATAAATTATTTAAATGAATGAAATGATAGTGATATAATTATTATAGATTATTATTATAGATTTTTTTGCATTTTAGGAATTGCAAATGAATCGCTCAAATTATATGGAGTGCAGTTCCACCCTGAGGTAGATTTGTCAGATAATGGCCGCCAAATGCTGCATAGTTTTTTGTATGGTATTGCAAATTGTACCGGATCTTATACAATAAAAGGACGACAAACTGGCTGTCTAAAGGAGATTAAGGATGTAGTAGGAGACAAGAAAGTACTGGTGTGTAAGAGGTTTCTTGTTAGCTCTTCATATCCATTAGTTATTGAATATTTTAAATCATCTTTCACTATCAGCATTCATCATATAATAATAATAATAATAAGATTTATAAAGCGCACATACAGGGTATCCACTGCAGTAGTGCTCAATCCACAATATCAATAAATTAAAAATGCAAAAGCCAAAAAAAAACATTAAAAAAAACCCCAAAAAAACATTTAAGGTGCAATACTGGATAGGTCATAATACACTCTGTATTGTATTTTGAAGCATAGTAATTATGTACACTGAAAACAACCCAAAATTATAAGAAAAATCAAAGTGAAAGTAAAAGAAAAAAAAGGTTTTGTTTTGTTTGATTGACATGACAAATTCTAGGTTTTGTTTTTTAACTAGGTGCTAGTAAGTGGTGGGGTTGACTCAACTGTATGTGCAGCATTACTATATAAGGTAAGTACTATGCAGTATGTCAATAAATGTGTAGATGGTTAGTTAACATTTTTATTAAGTGTAAAAAAGCTTAAAGCATTTAACAAGGCAAGGCAAACATAAAGGTAGAGTAGAGAGCAGGTAGTTGTAAGTTTCATATAAGGTGATTGGGGAAGTTGATTCCTGTACAATAAAAAAAATATGAATGAGACACTGTGAGGTGAGGGAAAAGAATCAACTATAAATGTGAGCATATGCAAGCCTTGATAGAGGTGTAATGATTGCCTTGAATAGTTGACTAACTTAATCTACTCAAATATCTTCCAGAAGGCATGTAAAGTATTAAATAGTTCAACATGTCAATTTGATGTTAAAATACATGAATGTTCAATATTAAAATACATTAACTGTAAATAATAAGTTACATTGTGACAGTCTATGTTGTCAGTTGTGGTACTACATCACCAAATATGGTATGTTGCCACCACACATCACTGGCTTATTCTCTTTTTTACATGATATTTCTATGTTGTAATACAAATTATTAACTTGGCTTTGTCTTAGGCTTTGAATGAAGACCAGGTGTTCGCAGTTCACATTGACAATGGTTTCATGAGAAAACAAGAAAGTGCACATGTATTAGAATCATTAGAAAAGATTGGCCTAAAGGTTAAAGGTGATTAGCATTTTATATTTCATTTTACATTTATATTCACAAAAATTAAATAGTAACACCATTATATTATTAGGATTATAGGAGTGCTTAATTAAATTTATTTTTATATTTTGTGAAAATATTTTAGGGAAATATAAATATTTTTCTAAACTATAACATTTCTTTTTCCTATACTTTTACACTTACCATAAATTTACACAAAATAAACATTATATGGCCAGTACAAATTTAGAGTCATCGATGGTGTCAATTCTGTTAATATTCAACTTGATTGTGTGTATGTGTACTTGTAGTGGTTAATGCAGCAATGACTTTTTACAATGCCACCACGACGATCCCAATTAATAAAAAGAACAGCAAGTCACCAAGAAGAACCACCAATTCATTAAACACTACATCAGAGCCAGAGGAAAAGAGGAAAATCATTGGTGATACATTTATGAGTATAGCAGAAGAAATATGTAATGAGTTAAATTTAAAGCCAGAGGATACATTGCTAGCTCAAGGTAAGACCTGCCTTATTGTTAGTTTGTCTACTGTAGATAGAGGTTTTACCAGTATATGTTACCTATTCTGATAGCCAATCAGGTTCAATCAGTGATGCAATACTCACTATAACTCATTGAAGTCTTATTTGTAAATAAGTTGTGGGGATGATGTCACATGGAGGACCAATTTACATAGTTATGTTACTCTAGAAATGATAATGTATTGGTTATAATGGTGGTAATTGTAATAATAATTAATAATTTATTTGGATATTCACTTTTGAATCAGTGGCACTCAACCACATGGGTGGTGCATCCTAACAACAAGAAAAAATATAAAAATTAAATCAAAATGAAAGACATCAAAACAAGAAGATAATCAAATTAGCTAAAACTAAAAGAGAAAATATTTCTATTTTCTCTATGACAATAATAACTTATACAAATACTTATTTACCAGAAAGGTGTTTATGATGCCAAACTTAAAAGAGAGGTCTTGAAACTCAATATTTGTGGTGATGTAATTTTTAAGTATATAGGATTTCATGTTATTCTATAGGTACTTTGCGACCAGACCTAATAGAAAGTGCTTCTTCATTGGCCAGTAGTTGTGCAGATGCAATAAAAACTCACCATAATGACACTGAATTGGTGAGACATCTCAGAAATGAAGGAAAAGTTGTTGAACCTTTAAAAGAATTCCATAAAGATGAGGTTCGTGTTCTAGGAAGAGAACTAGGCTTACCATCTGAACTTGTTCAAAGGCATCCATTTCCAGGTGAGTGGGTAAAATGCTGTAATTATCAACATCATTGTAGCACCTAGACAATACTTTACGAGTAGTTTCCATTTAGCTCTGTTTTGTGCAGGATGGTTTTGGTAATTTGTAGATGTACAGTTAAGAAGTGCTGAAGTGTTATGTTGGCTTTTTGTGTTAATTTGGGCCTTCGTTTTGGCCTCTGAACACTTATTTTCTGTTTGTGTTGCGCTGTTTTGCAGCTATGATGATATAATGAGATAAATGAAATGAATAATAATGATGATGATAGTTGGTATCGTCGATGACAATGTGTCGCAAATTTTACATGATGGTATATAGTTTCATCACGTCATGAAAAATTGGACTTAAAAGTGCGGTGGTAAGGATTTGAGTGTCTAATCAAAGGATCCAAAAAATGAGTACAGGGGCACCCTGGTGGGATCCAGGTGGAAAAGCTTCACCTGGCACTAATGTTTTAGACTTCTAATGTTATGAATGTTTTATGGCTGCTTGATCACCCCGAGACAATTGATATATTAAGTGTCGTTGCATTTTATTATCAGGGTTTCACATTGTTGAAGTAAGGCTTTTATCAGCGAATATTATTATATTATTCAAAATAAAGTACAATATAGGCATAAACTAATTTTCAGAATTTTAAATTCCTGTTCAGTATCTACGGTAATGAATGAGCTGTATTACAGTATGATAGTGTTTGTTAATTGTCAGTACAGTACGTGTATCTTGGTGTTGATTATTTCAGTAATGGGTTTTAGGCAGTGTAATGCTATGCATGTATAATCAACTGAAGTTTTGAACCATGTTTATTTTCTACTTGTTCAAAGAATAAATAAATCTTGAATCTTGGTATGTAAGTGATGTTCAGGTATGATAGTACATCTGGTATGGAAGTCATGTTCAGGCATGATAATAATAATAATTGTCGACTTATATAGCACATATTGTAGAGACCTATGCGCTTAGTATTTTTACCCCCGGTCATTGGATCAAGCACATATGGAACACATACTCAGGTCCCTTGGGATAATTTCATAATGTTGCAGCTGTAATCAGCGCATTTTTGTGTATGAACCTACCAGTTACTCACTTGTACTCCTGGGTGGAAAGAGACAACCGTAGGTAAAATGCCTTGCCTAAGGACACAAGCGAAATACACAGCGAGGTATTGAAACTCTGGCTTCAAGGTTGAGAAGCAGAACTGCAATCTCTGCTCCAAACCGCTCCTACATAGTAGTAATCTAGTATGGTATTAGTTTTGTTGTAAGGTGATGTTCCTGTGGTACAGTTATGTTACAGTATTTACATATCAAACCAGTCACTCGTCGCAATTCGGGTTTCAGAGATAATGGCCAAAACATGCTGCAATGTCAAAACTTTTGAAATCTATTGCACTAAACTAACCTTTTTATATCCATTCATCATGCTATGCTATTATTCTCCCCATTTATTTTCAATGTTAAAAAAACAATTTTAAATGATTTGATAATGATATCTGCCTGAGAAATGCCCGAAATCATGAACTTTGAAGGCTGATTTCTCAAATATTAAATGATTCTTTTACTATTTTATAGCTCTAATTTTACTGTTTAACCCTGTATTAATAACTAAAAATCAATTATTGCAACCAGTGACTGGTTTGGGCTGTCTCTGCCACATATGATGTGCTTATTATGTATGGTGTTGAGTTTTGGTATAATTTTATTTTTTTTTTGTTATTGTTCTGGTATGAGCATGTTTAGTTTTGAGTGGTAGTATTAAGTATTTGAAATGTTGTTAAAAGTACTGATTTTTGCTTTCAGGTCCTGGTCTGGCTATCCGCATACTTTGTGCAGATGAACCGTATATGTGTAAAGACTTTGCTGAAACTAGTGTCATACTCAAGATTATATCTGATTATTCTAACAAAATGCAAAAGGTTGGTTAAATTACAGCTACTTATTGATAAGTTTCCAATAAACATTACCAAATATTAAAAAAAAACTATTAATTGTGTAAATATTCCTAAACATTACACTATTGTTCTTAGCTTTGATTAATCAGTCAGTAAAATTGTATCAACTACAATTTCAGATGAACAAATGGTAAGCCAATTGAGAGGCATTCTCATTAACTGTATCAAATGAACAACTTATGAATTAGTTTGGCATTTTCTTCATGGCAAAATCCACAAAATGAGAATGCTACTTCAAGGAACACAGGTATCATATGTGAGTTGATTACAGCAAAATTCACATCATCAATAAGTTTAATTTCCATGAAGTAAATTTGGATTATGGTGATAGGTAGCATACTGCTAAAATTGTGGATCTTGGATCCTTTTTCGGTCGACTTCAATTGCTTTCACACTATCATTGTTTGTGTGTAGTTCCATCCTATAATAATGCTTCCAACCAACATCCTCAATTGCTTTCAGATTATCATTATCATCAACCTTTCCTTTGTTGCTTCCCCTCTCTGAGAGAGAAAATAAAATTATGAATTATGAACAAAGGAAAGTGAAAAAATTGTCCTACAGTAATGTCACAACTTGACTAATGTAACAGCATTCTTTATGGTTTACCACACAATTAGTTGATGACGACTTTACTCCTGGTCTGGGTGCCTTTAGGGTATCTGGTCATGTGGTTAGGTTTCTGCAGTGTCAGCTGGCCTGCCTATGCCTGTGTACCACCACTTGTTTGTGGTTTTAAACGGAAGGAGAACAGCACAGTGATTTTGGTTCCTCTGCTTCTAATCTGGTCTGGACTGTTTAGCTACAGGTTAGACTCGGGGATAAAAACAAAAAACAGTGCAATGATGTTGGTCGTTTCAGAAGGCTGTAAATCAAATTAACAAATAACCTAATAGTCAATGATAGCCATACTCTATATTCTCCATAAGGAGAATGGTTAGATGTAGTAATTATAAAACATTGACACAACCATATTCATTCATCCTGTTTTTATTATCAAAACTCATTGCAGTAAAACATAACTGTAGGTTTACAAGATTCACAAGATTTAAGATTACAATAATTATAAAAAGATGTAAATTATTAAAATGTAACTAGAGGAAAAACCTTATGCACCTTATTAAGTTATAACATGATTGATTAATACATTGATACAAAGAACTTTACAGTGTTATATTGCAGTAAGGCATTACTGCATTGTACTTTCAGGATATAACCTTTGTACTTTAGAGCTGTTTTTATTTCACAAGTTTCATATTAATCAAATTGATTTATTAACTATCACAAGTATTTCTTGTTTCTAGCCACATGCACTGATTGGCCGAGTTCAAGCAAGTTTGAGTCTTGAGGAACAAGCTATGTTAGCGTCCATTACCAATCATGATGAAATGTCATCTGTTTTACTGCCTATTAAAAGTGTTGGAGTTCAGGTTGTTGTCTTAATTTTTTATTACACCATTGCAAAAAGTATATTTGAAATTCATTTTTCTAAACATGATATATTTGCCATAAACCCTTTGCTGATGTTGCCTTTTAATAATTAATACCAATGCATATTTTTTTTTTTGCATGTTTTATATCAATTGAAATATAATACATAGCATTTTTTTTTAGTATACTGCGCTTCTGTATATATATATACTCTGTGCTGTGGTAGTGAAATTTTTCTGTAAAATGGACTGTGTTATATTCCAGTCAAAAATCACCTTAACCATGGTATAAGCTCCTACCTCAACGAAACTCAACTGTAGGTCCTTTGTACATAGAAGGATCATATCTTGATGTTTTATAACCAGATTTTAGCCGCTTGTCACCGTCGATTGTTTACCTAGAGAATTGACGTCACCAGGCTAAAATAACGATACGCCATTTGCGTCTCTACAAAACATATTAGCTAAATGATACGTTCGCTAATAATTACCAGTATCACAATGGCTTTTGATACAGTATAAATACGTAAATATGACGGTATATTTTTAATCCTACAAATCTCTGAAAAAACTGAAGAACAACTATAAATACGTGTGAGTTACAAAAATAATGAACGTGGCCTTCCATGTAAAATAAACTATGCCCTCAGTCAGATCAATATTTTTTATATTTTAACAAGCGAAGCGACGGTGCTTACCCAAGCAAGGTGAAAGTAAAGTTTGTACAATATTGGAGTACTGTATTTTTATCGCACTTGTATGTGCATAGCCTGCTACTTGATCTTTCAGTTTTATTTTCAATTAAAAATAAATCAGCCAAACCTATATAAAGAAAAAAATATAGTGTATAGCTTATACAAAATTATGTCAATGTTGATTGCCTCATGTTCTTAATAACAAAGTGTAACCCCGTTGGGTGCCATCGGCTTGCAAATAGTTAGGTTGTTTTTCACCATAAATTAATATCTAGCCCATGGTAGTCCTTTTCTTTTTTTACCTTCATTGGCTATTAGTCACGTTCACAATTTTTTCTTTTGTATTTAGAATAAAAATATATACTATTGTTTTATCAGTTTAAATACAGTAATTTCCTTCGGCAGTCTCGGTTTTCCACGGTAATTGTGGGCGACGATGATAGGTCTATTTTTAATATATCAATTATTACATATTTATAATAATATGATTGTTGTCTAGTCATGCAAAACAGCAATAAGAAATCAAATATTAATGTGCTGACACATTTCGCATCTACGACGCTTTTTGCCGATGATCGTCGAGACGCGGTTTCATTGATAACGGAATGTGAACAGGGAACGATCCCACTACCACTACTGACAGAGGCTGCGTCACGTCATCTGCCAGCTTTGGATTCGTCAGCCAAGTACTGTTGGGTCAGCCCAAATTAACTTACCTAAATAAAGAGACCACCGACGATTGAGCAAGGTTCCAGAAAAAACGTCTTTATATAAATAAAGTCTTTCTAATGCCTAAACAATTTTTGATGCAATGTTTTCATATCATTGTAAAAGTAAACCTTCATGAAATCAAATATCTTGTCTTTTTCTCCTATTCCCACATCTCAATTATTATAGTAAATGCAGTTCAGTAACTAATATTTTGTCTTAATTGCAAAATGTGTGTTGCTTAAATTACAGGTAAAAAATAGTAACAGTTCTGGAATTTCAATGAAATGGGACAGGAAAATTTACGGGTCGCTTTGTTTTTTAGTTTTTACAATACTTTATCGTTAATCTCACAAGTATGTCTAGGGACAATGTAACCAAAGGTTCTGATGGAAAAGTAATTTGTTCTGGACTCGGACCTATTTATTTATGAGTCCAGGCCTATGATAAAATTCCGTAATTAATTTATTTTGTATCACACGTGACAATATATGATTATCTGAATAGGCATATATATATATATATATATATATATGTATATATATATGTATAATTATGTATATATATATAGGCCTATATATGTTTGTTAGGGGATGGTGCGTTTATGTGGGTGCTGGTTGACGTACGTCTGGGGCGAAGTTGAAGGCATTATTAGCGCAAAGGATGAGAATGTGACGACGGATGATTAAAAGGATTATAATCATCTAATACACTGTACTTTTGTTCTAATACAAAGGGAATACATGACTGACATCGATAAGAACAGCCATGGGTTGGATATTTATGGTAAAAAAAAAACCAAAATGTATAGCCTCCAACTATCCAAGCCAAATGGAAATCAGGGATTGGACAATTATAGTAGTTTGTCTATACAAACTTTTTATAGGTTTCGCTGATTTTAATCTAGCTTGTAAGTAAAATGGGAAGCTAAAGTTGTAGGCATAAGTGTGATAAATTACGGTAGTCGGTACCGGACGTTATAGTGTACAAACTTCGCTTCGCTTGTTAAAATATATTGATCTGATTCAGGGCTTAGTTTATTTTATAAGGAATGCCACATTTATTATTTATTAAATTCACATGTATTGATAGTGTTTCTTTTTCTTAACATGCATACAAGCTGTGATTGAATAGTTATACAAAAGACATTATTTTGCATTGACTCCTCCAGCTGATACACAAAGACATATCTGAATGGTATTGTATTGAGTCAGAGACCCAATCAAATAAAATAAAATCAATCAATTTTATAAACTCCCTTAGAAGAGAAACACTCAAATTTACAATTTATACAGATTCAATAAAATATTATACTGTATAATACTGGCCATAGTTGAGTCACACACCAGTGATTACCACTAGTGTGGCAACTGATATCACTTTGTTTGAAATAAAATTCTTTAGTGACATGAATGTCATAACCTGATCTTACATAATGTAGTCTAGAAGTTATGGCAGATATTTTCAAACCTGAAAGTGATATTTATAATGTTCAAAGAACTTTGAACTGAGGATGTTATTGTGATGCTAATGAGAGGATTGACCCTTTAATTTCAGGGAGATGGTAGGACTTACAGTTATGTAGCAGGTTTATCATGTGAAGGTGAACCAGATTGGGAAAACCTGATGCAACTTGCTAAGATGATACCCAAGGTTTGCCATAACATTAACAGGTAAAAAATCTAGCTAAAAGCAATACTACTACTAGCTGTCGATTTCATCTCCAGTCATTCTTGCCTAATAATAGACTTTCACCTAGTAAGTATTGGTTTGGTCTTTTGGATTATCCCACCGAATTTATCGTATTTACAACATGTTCGCTTGATGGCCATGCAAAAATCAGTTATTAAATGTTAGTTTATCAAATATAAATATGATTCTTTAATTTAAGTATTGGCTGATTCCTCTTTATACTGTATTCAAAAGAATGGCATAGAAGCAGTTAACAAAACATTAAAACATTTAAATATACTGTAATAATTGAAGAATTAATGTAATGTATTGCTACTCTGAAGAATACTGCTTTCAAGCTAAGTTGAGGTAGCCTAGGCCTTTACTTCTACAGTACTAGGCCAAATGTGCGGTCAACATCGTGCGTGTACCGTTAGTGCGTGTTAATTTGTTCTGGTCTCCGTAAGGCCTAATGCCTGTATTCTTAAAACAAACCTTAGTCGAACTTCGAACTAGAACTTCATTTAGTGCTAGTTGCAACTTCAGCTTCAATTTGTATTCACAAACAACGTAGTCGAAGTTTTAACTATGACTAAATCAAGTCCTAGTTTTAGTTCAACTGAAGACGACTGGCAAGACACGACTACCAAACTAACCAATGAAAAGGGCTAAAGGGAAATTTTAGAGATCCTTTAACGTGGATGAATATTAAGCTGCCGTCTGTGGTTCAAAAACATATTTCCTCATAATTCCTAATAGACCTTCATTCGCTTAATTAATTTTCTATAATAATAACTATATTAGTTGTTAACATATTACGATAAAGAATTTGAACAGTCACTGAAAATTTGCTTTCTTTGGAGAACTATTATAGTTGAGCCCGAGCGAGGGCGGCGCCATTTTTGTTGTTGTTACGGTGAAGCTAAATGATCGCAACGCGAGGGGATTTCGTGGAAATCAGGAACTATCGCATGTGGCTAGCAAAACATTTTAATTTCTTCTTTTGGAAGCTAAACTTGATGTCTCTTTTGTTTAACACACCGAAGATATATCAAACCTGCATATACAATCGTTTTTATTCGTTTCAATTTATCGTGAGTTACAAAAACATGTTTTTAGTGGGGTAAATGTTTCAAGTCGGCGATTTAGCCTGACCCTAGACTGTGTCATTTAGTCGTAGTGCTAGTCGAAGTTCATTTTAAGAATACGAAATGACGTAAGTTTTAAGTTATAGCTCGAACTACCACTAAAATTTGTTTTAAGAATACCGGGGTAACTCTCCAAGTCAAGTTGCTATTTATATAGCTCGAAAAAAATTTGACTTTGCTTTAGTAAAATTTTTCAGTGGCACTTTAGACTCGACTTAGGCGAGTTTGACTTATAAACCATTTTGCTAGCTAAAATAGTAAAGTTGGTTCAATTGAAAGAACCTATTTAGAAGTTCATTGAGCTCCCTAAATCAAGAGTAACTGCTGCTTATTAACCAACAATTAAATTTATTTCTGAATAGACCGAATTAGTCACCCAAATGACGTCATCACGTTTTTCGCCGAGTGGGTATTAAAGTTGTAAACATGCCCAAAGAGCTATGCTAATGCATTGAGCGGAGTCAAAAGTGGTGTATATTAAATCGTCTATGTAATGAAGTTGGCGTAGAAGGTGCTTTTTATAACAACATATATATTTTGAATGATTCGTAGATTCATGAGACTAAGGTTGATTTGATTTACATTTCCATTCAGACTAAAAATATGAAGAGTTTTGAGAGGCCTTCTGGGGGGGCCTAGGCCTATCACTCGAGGCCCTCGCTATAACCATTGCTGACTAAGGGGTCGTTGTTGATTTAGAGGTACATGTACTCATTCAGCTTAAATACTGTCACCAAGTCATTTTGTAGCAATTTCTGTATGGAATATTTAAACTATTGGACAAACTTAAATTGCTGAATTGTTGAATAAGATGTTTCTTTTGACTACGATGACCAATGAGTTAGAAGAACGTTGTTGGTATAACTCCCTAGTCTGTCGCTAGGCCTGTATTCACGCAACGGCTATGCAAAAATGTTCAATTTTTCCATTTGTTTTGTTTCATTCCATTTCAAATCCAACACTTGACGTTAATTAAAGGAATATCTATCAAGGCTTTTCTGTAAGTTAGTTTACAGTAGTATGTACAAATAAAGATTGAGGAGTTTAAAAACTGTTGAAATTTATTCGAGTGGAGGCCTATTATTGTGTAAAAAAAAAACGGCCTCCTAGCAGTTTGTTTTGATGTTATACCCACTATAACATCTTCGATTTGGGGACTAATTTGGTCTGTTTTTCCTTTTCAATTGAACCCAGAATGAATTTATTTCCTTTCAGTTTAATTGATATTAAATAATCATTCAAGCATTTACAATCCCAGTGGAGTATTATTAATCATGAAGGGTTGTTTCAGCAATGTGCATTCTACTATAGAAATAAAATAAATAGTGATCGTTGTAAAAATAAATCGTCTCACTACACGCTGAGTTAATAACATACCTTTAAACATGTCCCAATTCAAAACCTTCTATTTTAATATTATTTGTTTGGTGTGTGGTTTTTTTTTTTTAGGGTTGTGTTTATATTTGGAAAGCCAGTGAATGAAGCAATACAAGACATCACTCCAACTTTCCTTACACCTAATGTGCTTGGAACACTCAGACAAGCTGATCATTATGCTCAGATTATTCTCAAGGAAAGTGGTAAGTACAATATAGCACATACATGTACTATGTTTTTTGTTTATTTCTATCATTCTATATTGTAATGATAATGGCCTGTATACCAGGGGACATAGGACTACTCTTTTTTTGGGAAGTGTATAATATTTGAAGATATTGATATTGTTTTTGTCTATAAATAAGAAGGAAACAGAATGTATGCATATAACCAGTGGATCCAATAATATCCATGATCCATTGTCCACACATTAACTACTACTCTGTAGCCAACCATGATTAAGTTCGCACTCACAGGGATTACCACTACTGTAGCCAATCATGATTCAGCTCACACTCACAGGGATTACCACTACTGTAGCCAATCATGATTCAGCTCAAACACACAGCAATGCCGCAATATTGTTTTAAGCATGCCTATACCTTTTCACACAGTGCCTTTTACTGGAACATTGCGGTATCCTAAGCTTTTCTGTCTAAAATGGTCCTATAGAATGGCGTAATATTGGCGGTTTAAATACCACAGCGGAATTGTTTTCAACTTTAGCCTTGCTTGTTTACATAAATGCACACGCCGGCTTGATTGGTGCAATATCGAGTAGACCCTTTCTGAAAGAGCAAGCCAGTTACCGCAATATTGCAGCAATAATACTAGGGTGCAAGGTGGCCTAAAGTAACCAGGCATATTAGCGTATCGACCCCTCATTCAGACAGAAACCCTTGCCGGCGTGCTTACCGCAATATTACAGTATTGCAGGTCTGTCTGAAAGGGGTTCATGATTCAGCTCAAACTCACAGCGAGTACCACTACTGTAATCAACCATGATTCAGCACAAACTCACAGTGAGTACCACTACTTTAGCCAACCATGGTTCAGCTCTAACACACAGTGAGTACCGCTACTGTAATCAACCATGATTCAGCGCAAACTCACAGTGAGTACCACTACTGTAGCCAACCATGGTTCAGCTCACACTCACAGTGAGTACCACTATTGTAGTCAACCATGATTCAGCTCACACACACAGTATGGTATGGTGTATTACATATTATATTGTAATTTTTGTATGCGAGCAAAGATTTTTCCAAAGAGGATTAATAATTTTTAAAATTTATCTTATATTATTTATTCTATATATTACCGATTACTTTGTTATAAACAAGAAAAATTAAAATTTGTATTTTTCAGGTTACTACAACAGGATTAGTCAAATGCCAATTATCTTAATTCCTGTCCACTTTGACCGGGACCCTGTACTACGTAAGCCATCATGTCAACGTAGTGTTGTCATCAGAACATTTATTACCAATGATTTTATGACAGGAGTTCCTGCAGTACCTGGCAACCAAATACAAAAGGATGTAAGTTACTGAAAATTCACTACATTTAGTATGAATGAATTTGCTTGACATACCTGTTGGTCATATAGTATTTATAGAATTTTCAAAATAATACACTTGTAGTTGATACATTAGTGTTCGACGCAAACACAGTAAACAGAGATCAATGTGATACACCCTCTTCTTAATCATATTAAAAAGGAAATCAACACTAGTGTGTGACGCACGCAGGTTAAACAGAGATCAATGTGCTACACCCTCTTCTTAAGCATCTAAAAAACGAAATCAACACTAGTGTTGGACACAGAAAGAGGGATCAATGTGATACGCCTCTTTTTAAGTATCGTAAAACAAGATCTTATACAAGAAATATTACACACAAAGATATAAACTCTCAATATTTACATCAGTGGCGTAGTGGGGATAAAATTAATAGGTATTTGTTTCCGGCCAGGGTTGTACCAAGTAGGGTCTTTCAGTAGGCCCTATGTCATTTGGTTAGGTGGAATAGGCCCTAGCCTACGTAGGCCTTGCCACACACTTGGCAAGGAACAGTGATATCAAGGCAGTCATAAATATGCTTTGTCAATGTATGTTGTATGCTTCATGGACATTATTTATAGATCATTAAATGACATTCAAATCTAAATAATTAATTAAAAATGATTTTATAATGAATGTTAAACCACAGAATGGCAATGATCAGGAAAATTACAGGCACACAAAAATATTAACAAAGGTTTAAAGAAACACCTTTTGATTGATTTATTAATGTTTGGTGGGAGTTTGTTGGCGCAGCTTGTAGTTATGTCTCCTAAACTTGAGGTCGGGGTTTTAATTGATGACCCAGATCTTTAGTCTGTCGCAATTGCAGAGGCCACATTTTTCATTTTATTGACACATTCATTATAACTACGGCAGCTTTCTATTATAATTATTGGCACTCAAATTTTCTGGTTTTTTGTTAGGGCACTTTGATACAAATGGAATTTTTTTTCGGTTAGATAAGTATATATGCTCAACGGCTATACATTAAAATTTATATACATGTTTTATGTTTAGATCATGAACAGTCATAAAGTAAATCGGGCTTGTTATTTGCAAATATCATACTGTATGTGTTGTCAGGAGTATTTTACACAAGTATTGACTTTCATTTCAGGTGCTGAATGAGATTGCAAAGAAAGTAAAGACAGTTCCTGGAATTTCACGTGTTTTATACGATTTGACAGCTAAGCCTCCTGGAACAACAGAATGGGAGTGAACTGGAGTTGGTGGGCTGAGTGCAAATTGAGTATAAACTGAGAAGACTTTAGTGGGTGTGGCCTAAGCAGAGTACACTCTTGGGCTCTAAATTGATGTCTTCCAAGCAGAGTTTATGAATGAGGATGACATTATTATGCAGTTGAACACTAAATTATTGATTGGTTGGGTATTCATTTTATATTTTTTGATGTGACCATAACATTATTTAACAACATACATTAGTAAGCTCCATTATATTACCAGTACAATTCACTATATAAATTAATATTGACGTGTAAATTAAATTTTGAAGGAGGAGGATAAGGTATTGGTATGTGCATCATGTATTGCTATTTCTAATGTATGTATTGTATATATAAAGGACCTTGACTATCTATTGTGAATATTAATTTAAGATGATTAGCTGGTTCTATTCACACATTTGTATGCAATGTTTGACAAATGTTCTTAACTGTATTTATATACTGTATTAACATTTGAACCATGCTGCAGTCACAATCAATTTCAAGATTTTTCATGTTTGAACATATAAAGTGCTATATATATTCGTCAAAACTTATTTTTCTGTGTTCCTTGTTTCTGAGACCATAACCAGTTAAGGCCTATTTACACCAAGCTCAAAAGCAACACAAAAAGTAAAACCTTTTATATTCCTTAATGTGAACCAACACTGAACTTGATGCGACTATGTGACAGAGCGGTGTGTTGCTTAGAATAGCTGTTCTGAAAATACTGAAAATATGGGTTGCGACTCAAAATTGGATTTTCCTTGAAATTGAATGTCATATCACATGCTAAATTTTGTTGTAAAGAGAGAGCAATCTGAAAATTGTTGTTTACCATTTAATGAGCTATTAATATTGGTTTCTTTTAAAGTTCCGTAAAGTGGATTGCGTCTGGACGTTTGTTTGGGTCGTTTGGCCACAAAATGATTTTCATTTTCATAAACTTGTGACGAAAAATATTATATTATAAAATTTTCCTAGAATGAACTTATTACCCATCAGTGATTCCTGCAGACTGTAGAACAAATTTTGAACAATGCATTTGTGACGACTAATGTCGTGCACAGAGTAAATGGATTGCACTACGCAACTGTCATGCTCCGCGTATTTGGGCTGCAGCGTCAGTGTTCTAACTAGTTGGGTATAATATATAAACTAGTTAGTACACTCTTGAGAGCATAAATGAGCTACTGCATCATACCACTGGAAAAGAACATTTCAATGGGTTTATAATATTTAATGAATTCTTTTGTGATTGATGCTTCCATTGATCCATTTTGTGCAAGGACTTTCAACTTTACTGGGTTAGTTCATGTGATCATGTAAATAATGTACATTGCTGAAGTTGAAATGATGGTGTGATTTCAGCTTCAGACTAATGTATTCATTAATGCCTTTCACTCATACTGCTTTCACTCTATTTTGAAATGAAATAAAAGAATCAATATTGTGATACCAAACATGTGTTGTGCTTAACTTCATGCTATGGATGTCCATATGTTGTAAGCATTAATCATTATTTTTACCTTCCAAACATATGCTTTAATACTTTAATAAATATTTATAATGCCCTGATTTCAAAAATTATTATAAAATGCAGATAATTGGTATTAAAGCTGACTGTGTAGGTGAATTTATTCCAAAGTTGTTTTTCCACATGTGCCTTCTTTAGTAATAAGACTACAGATCTAATATTCTGTTAATCTTGTTAGCAATTTGATTATTACTGTTAATGGCCAAAGCCTTGTACAGTATATCATATTTAAAAAGGAACAGTTTATATCAACAAGATCTCATGCATTAAAGAATTATTTCCTGTCAAAATAATCTGAGAATACTTCAAAAATTCAATCCATTTAAAAGGATTAAATGAGTTACTAAAATCATTTTTCCCCACACACATTAATTTTACTACAAAAATCACTGTCCATTTTAATTGTCTATGTAAAAATATACAGAAAAGTATTACAATAATTATATGTTCAATAATTTGATAGGGATTTTGTTTTCATACAGATTTTTAATTGTAAGTTAGTCACTTATTACTTATTGAATTTTTAACATTGATAATTATGTACATACTGTAGTCTTTTTTTGTGTGTGTTTGTAAACTAAACCAGGTTTGTAAACTAAAAAACTGCACATGATCTTACTGAACCAGTGGTGAATTCAAAGATATAAAGAAAATTATATTCAAATCTTGAGAGTGCAATTTCCGGCCACCTAGAAGTACCAGCATAATCACAAATTTTCTTACCTCAGCCCCGACACTATAGTGGGACTGAGGTGGTATGGATCCTCCATCCGTGAAAGTCCCTAACCGGGCCTCCTCTATTTTGAATTCCTGGATCCACTACTGTGACATGATGTCATGTAATTAATGCTGGTCATGTAGTCGTGCATAACGTCTTTAAATGTTGTTTGTACCATGCAAATTAGACTTGCCACAAGTCTAACTAGCATATTATATTTCTCATTCTGGACAGCGCCACCAACGAGAAAGTTAATTTAGAGATGGAATAAGCCGAAAGAAAAGCAATCGAGTATGGAACACCAATTAAATTAGGTATAGTGCACACAAAGAGATAGGTTTAGGCTGAAGGCCAAGGATATAATCACCATTCTTAGTGGTATATCCCACAAGATGCTCAACATAAATCAAATTTCATTATGAGGCTTAGGGAGTGGAATTTGGTGTGAAGTTTCGGTAGCGAGAAAAAATCCTGTTACTGTGACAGCAATTCACCCACAACCCTGGGATTGGAAGCTGTCTCTTATACACATCTAGATGTGTATAAGAGACAGATTTCTAATGTATGTATTGTATATATAAAGGACCTTGACTATCTATTGTGAATATTAATTTAAGATGATTAGCTGGTTCTATTCACACATTTGTATGCAATGTTTGACAAATGTTCTTAACTGTATTTATATACTGTATTAACATTTGAACCATGCTGCAGTCACAATCAATTTCAAGATTTTTCATGTTTGAACATATAAAGTGCTATATATATTCGTCAAAACTTATTTTTCTGTGTTCCTTGTTTCTGAGACCATAACCAGTTAAGGCCTATTTACACCAAGCTCAAAAGCAACACAAAAAGTAAAACCTTTTATATTCCTTAATGTGAACCAACACTGAACTTGATGCGACTATGTGACAGAGCGGTGTGTTGCTTAGAATCTGTCTCTTATACACATCTAGATGTGTATAAGAGACAGGTATTACATATTATATTGTAATTTTTGTATGCGAGCAAAGATTTTTCCAAAGAGGATTAATAATTTTTAAAATTTATCTTATATTATTTATTCTATATATTACCGATTACTTTGTTATAAACAAGAAAAATTAAAATTTGTATTTTTCAGGTTACTACAACAGGATTAGTCAAATGCCAATTATCTTAATTCCTGTCCACTTTGACTTAAATTCCTGGATCCGCCACTGTGACATGATGTCATGTAATTAATGCTGGTCATGTAGTTGTGCATAACGTCTTTAAATGTTGTTTGTACCATGCAAATTAGACTTGCCACAAGTCTAACTAGCATATTATATTTCTCATTCTGGACAGCGCCACCAACGAGAAAGTTAATTTAGAGACGGAATAAGCCAAAAGAAAAGCAATCGAGTATGGAACACCAATTAAATTAGGTATAGTGCGCACAAAGAGATAGGTTTAGGCTGAAGGCCAAGGATATAATCACCATTCTTAGTGGTATATCCCACAAGATGCTCAACATCGGTCAGTATGTCTTCAGTAGTATGCTTCTGCCTTTCCAAAATTCATTTGGATACCACAATTTATATATTCTGCAAAAATACTTTATTTTCATTAAAAAAAAAAAAAAAAAATATGCTTCATGTAACCATTCACCTTGGAAGTTATCAACTCATTAAAACAATACTAAATATACCTTATTTCTTTGAGGTAAGTAACAGAATAGCCAAACCTATTTATATATTTTATATACATTATGTTGCCTTCACCATAAAAATATTTGTGTTGCACCTTATGCCAATTAAAAAAACTATAATACGTTCATTAAAAGCTGAATTTGAGGAATGATAATAATCAATAATTTTAAAAATCTATTATATATTGCACAGGCTTTAAATTAATAGTACAGTCTACCCAAACAATGTTAATGTTGCTTTTCCATTATCTTTGAAGTAGTGTTTCTACAAATTCTATGTTCTAAAAAATCTCCACTTGCTTATTTATATGGTATCAGGTGGTATTATTACAGTTTTAGTAGCTGTGTTGTATCGATTTAGCTTTACACAATAAAGGGGCACACCGTACTATTTTCAGATATTCTGGTTTAGATACACTCAAATGTAGATCAATGAAATACAAAAATATATACTTTATTTGTAGTACTGTGCTATTAATAATATATATAGTAAACCTCAAAACACATGACAGTTCCAATAGCTCAGTGAAATAATAATAATATTAATCTTGTATTACGTGAAAATAAAAACAAACACAAAAAAAACCACATAACCATGAAAACAAACCAAGAAAATTAATGAAAACAACAAAGCAGATGAATTATTTCCAATGCTCCTTTTTCCAGCACAACAACAAAAGATATAAATGTGTCTTAAAAAAATGTGTTTTTTTAATGGACTTTTTTTTTATACATTTTAACTCATGACTAAATTAATAGGCTTGTATGTGTTGCTGAAATGATATTTACAGCCATGGGCCCCATACATCCTCGTGCAATGCTGGGTTAGCCTTGGGATCAGGATCAGGGTAATAAGCAGGAACAGACTTGTTATAATAGTAGTGCAGTCTTTCAGTCAACTGGGAAACAATATCAGGACGTAACTGAGAGAGGTCACGGTATTCATAAGGGTCACCAGTGATGTTAAACAACCAAACATTTTGGTCTGGTATCAACAGAGGTTTAAATGCATTTATACCTGAGTTTGGTACAGGGATCCAGGCTCCATTGTCAGCTCCTGAAAAAAAGTCGATAATCAATTCAATTATTACCGTACATGTACTGCTGGGATGGATTCAGGATTTAGTTAGTGGTGATGCATGACCACACCCACCTCAGGCACACATGGCTGGGGCAAAGTTGAAAAGCAAATTTTAATGTGTTTTTTGCATTTGTGATGTGAGCACATTTTAAGGATATGGCACATCTAGATGCACGGAAATATCGCTCTGTCTTCAGCTCTAACCTTAAACATTTATTTTCATTAATTGGGAGAAAACTTTAATCATTTGGAACCTATATTCCTAGAAATGGCAATCTCATTTTCTAAAAAGGTTTTTTTAATGAGAATATTTGACATCAACATTTTCAAAATACAGGAAATAAATAAAAAAAACAATGTTATCACACCAACTGCACCCCAATCCTTGAGATCCACCTCAGTACTGCTAATAATGATCAAATCATTTTCAAATATTAGTCTAATACTGAACTCGATTCATACATATATGTAATAACCATTTGAGCCTTAGCCTAGACCAGGGGTTCTCAACTATATCGCAATAGGGGTCAAAATTGTTCATTGAATAAATTTTAAGTGCCAGAGCAAGAGGTGTTCTATGGCGCTTAGCGCGAGCCTGGGGTTATATAATTTTGGGAAATCCCGAATTAGAAATTTTGAAAAAATAAGCCGCTAGATGCTCATACAGGGCATCTCGACCTAAAACTCTTACCCTTCTGTTTGGTAATGCAAGAGTCAAAATGTAATACAGTATTTCTTTACTGTTTGCTGCGATAGTTCTTCCAATTTTGATTGATTAAATCACTACAATTTGTGGGCAATATACTGTATAAGCTTAGTCAGCAAAACAGAATGCAAAATTATTAAAGTGAGAAATCTACCCCCAAGCTTAACGGAAAATATTATTTTTAGCTTGTTCTTGCAGGCCGCATAACACACACTCGTGGGCCAGAGATGGCCTGCTGGCCGCCAATTGAGAACCCCTGGCCTAGATGTACAACTAAAGTAATAAAGTAAATGAATACTTGTGTACCTGGATGACCAGTGATAAGCTTCCAGTCACCAACTCGAATTGCTGCTGTCATGTTCACATTAAAAGTACTCTTGTCATCTTCTTCAAAAGCATCGATGTTATGTAGCAATTCTTTACGAGGAGAGGGTTTGCCTTCACTGAAAGTACAAACACATAATTTTTCGAATCAAATTAGTAATTAAACAAATCAAAAATTGACTGATAAACAAATCAATTATTTTGGATGCACTTTATATAATTATCCCATCTAACATTTTTACGTTATAATCGTTACAGTTTGGTGTACAAAACATTTTTTTGTAGAACCATAAATTTGTATTTATAACATAATTTCATGTTATAATAACATAATAGCATATAATAACATAATAACGCAAGTGGCTGCAAGTTGCTGATGTATTACATCATTTTTTGACATACCTATCCACGACATTCTACATTAAATATTAACGTATTGTGCTGGGATAGTCTTCTAAATAGCTGCTGGTTAACAGAATGCTTTTCATTTTTATTTTCCAGTAAACAAAAAAATTAATCAAACTGTTTTAGTATCAAATCAGTTAAATAATTATAATTGTGTTCACTGTACAGTACTGTAATTTGTTAGCATGTTGTACACATCAAATGTCTGAAACCTAGATTACTGTTTGTTTGTTGTCCTTTATTTTTAAAAATTTAGTTAGCACATTGTGTGTGTTAACCTGGCTGCTGCCACGAACAAAGAATGAGGTGACATTAGGCAACTTTTAACTACTTGAGTTCAATTTTTCTGCTCAGCTAATTCTCAGTGAGGGGAGGGGCAGGAAAACCTTTAAGGGGGCTTACTTCCCATTAGATACACAAGTGCTGCAGCTATAAGAATGGTCTGTGATATTACTACTGATATTTGAGTCAATTACAATAGATGGCTGCTGTGCATATAATCCACATGTAAGCTTCATTAACCTATTTCCTTTGCTTCACATTCAATATTTTCCTCATTAATAAAGATATAATAAATATGAGTTAACATTTACTTGTTTTAGTTATTAATTAAGACACACATCATGTCTGGCTTCTTTTTATATTTGCATTTAACTACAAGAAATTACCTGATAGTTGACCATACATTAAAACCATCTAATTCTGTATTTCTGATGTTGCCTTTGGCAATACCTTCCACTAATGTAGGAAACCAATCACTGACATGCATTAATTCATTAGTAATGGTGCCTTGTACACTTGATGGCAGAAGAGGACTAGAAGCAAAGCCGACTGCTTTCATACCACCTTCCCAATATGATCCCTTCCAGCCACGTAGAGGCCAGTTGTTTCCGCCTTCTGCAACTTGTCCACCGTTATCTTTAAAAAAAGGATTCAATTGCATATTTTTTCATAAATTTTACAGTAATTATGTAGACTTCTGCAGAATATTTTTTTCTACTTATACAGTATTTTAAGTATTTTGCATATAATTTAGACTATTAAATTTAATCATTGAGCTTTAAATAAACCCTCTGTTGTTTAGTTATATGACCAGAGGAGGGTTATGAAAATTATTCATAAATTAGGGGGTGGGCACCAGGCCTGTAACCATGTTCCTGTGAAGGGGGGTTTCCTATACGCCAAGTGTAACTCAGAAAAGTGTTTCTTTAATAGAAAAAGATATGATAAATCAAAATCAAAATCAGGGGTTCCCCAAACACGCCCCCACCCCCGGTTACGGGCCTGGACACCCATGTACATCCCTAATTTTTTAAACAACTTGATAACACCTGACCATAAGGCACTTAAATTTTATATTACTGACCCAGTATGGCTGTGTTTAGTGGTGTTTACTTTAGTCATGCGGCTGTAAATGTATTTCTAAATTTCAATTTGTTTTGTAAAGCAGGTAATTGAAAATTAGAAAAAGAAAACATACTTTATGCCAATGTGTTGTCAGAGAGTGATATGATATTAAACAAAGAGTAGAAGTTCTTATTAAATTCATTTTTTGGCAACCAATAAAGCGCTGCTCATGGAGGACTATGAGCAGCATTTGGAAGTATCTATGTAGCCCTTCAGCAGGCTGTCAGGATGGATTAGAGGTTTCTGCAGGATGTATGTAGTCTCAGCAGGCTGTTAGGATGCATTGGAAGTATCTGCAGGATGTATGTAGCCCTTCAGCAGGCTGTCAGGATGGATTAGAAGTTTCTGCAGGATGTATGTAGCCCGCTGTCAGGATGCATTGGAAGTATCTGCAGGATGTATGTAGCCTTTCAGCAGGCTGTCAGGATGGATTAGAGGTTTCTGCAGGATGAATGTAGCCCTTAGCAGTGTCAGATTGCATTGGAAGAATCTGCAGGATGCATGCATAGCCCTTCAGCAGGCTGTCAGGATGGATTGGAAGTATCTGCAGGATGTACGTAGCCCTCAGCAGGCTGTCAGGGTACATTGGAAGTATCTGCAGGATTATTTTCTGATTTAGGTTTCAAGTCTAATGAAGTTCCCTTTATAAAATAATCACAAGGGGCCCTTAATTGTCATTAAGGACCATTGTGGTAACCTTATGAAACATTAGTTAAGATAAATTTTTATTTTGTGTTTGTAAATTAAGTTGGGTTTATTTTCTATCTCTCTCATATTATTTCAATCTGATTACTGTATTTGATTTAGTTATGTACTTTTTGATGCCCCACTCGGAACGAGCGAGTGCCGCTGATTCTAAAGTGATTCCTACAGTAATGAATAAGTAAATAAACCTGTTTGGTTGAGTTCATCTGAGCTTACCTGTTGAAAAGATGAGCAGTGTATTATTCCACAGCTGGAGATCCTGAAGAGACTTGACAATGTTCCCAACAGCATCATCCATACATGTTGTCATGGCAGCATACAACCTCCGATTTTTGTTTTTAATGTGTGAATACATATTGATGTATTTTTGTGGAGCTTGGAGAGGAGAATGCACTGATTGCAAAGCCAAATACAGGAAAAAAGGCTGAAATAACAAAACACATTATAACATTTAACAATCATCTAACATAGCATTACATGTTAAATGGCATTCTGTTTATGCTCTTAAGACTGTGTGTCAGAATATAGGTGTTATAGGGCAAGGGGATTTGTGAGTGGGCACAAAAACAGGTGAAAGTGAATACAAGGTCATCCTGTAACACTTGTGTGCATAGAATTTGAAATGTTGCTGATTACAGTATATGAATACAGCTACATCATTTTTCCACAGCACAAAAAAGGATGAAAATCAGCTGATATAAATAATACTGTAATATGCAATTAGTGTACTGAGGGAAAAATTGTGAAACAAAGCACAAACCAGAGTTTTCAAAACAGAAATAGACACAAAACAGTACCTCATATAAAGTTATACACAAATAATTCCAAAGGGGTTAAACATCACATAAAAATTAATAATAGATAAGTGGATTTTCAAACCACAAATACAAATACATATACTACTCCAGGGACGGATTTAGGAAAGTAAAATAAGAAAAAAAAAGAAAGAAAGAAAGAAAAAGAAAACAATCACCGCCCAAAACACCCCATAGGTTACTTTTGGGCATCTAGAAAACAAAAGTTTCGCGGGGGCATGACGCCAGACCCCTTAGGGTAGTATTATCTCAACTGGTCCGAATTTCGGCCTCTTGTCGGCCACCCTATTCGGACATCTCTGGATGCGCCCCTGCATACTGTAGGCCTACTCCTTGCAATTTGTAACAGATTTTGCCTAAAATTAAATTCAGCACGTGTCTACTAAAAGACACATGCGTCTCTTGAAATTGATAGTCTAGAATTATAAAGTTATACTGTTCTAAAAGCTTCTGTGACTTACTGTCACTCCTTGGCATGAAGGTAATATCCACCTTGCATGAGTTCCAGCTGGTCAGAAAATGAAAAAGTATAAACTCTGCAATTGTAAAATTAGCTTTAATTATTCTAAACTTCTGCACAAAACAAACCTCATCTTGATTATGACTCTTAAAAATATTCTGCACACGCTCAGTAAAGACATAAGCCGAATAATTGCCAGTGTATTCCCATGCAGGTCGAAGGTTGTCATGTAAGTCATAACCATACCAGTGTTCCAGGAAATTTGCTTGATTGCCTCCTGACCGAAAATGTGTCCAATAGTCCTCACTTCCTGTTAAATAACCTATGAAAATAAAGTAATAATGAAATATTGCTTGAAAGGCGAATAATGTATTTACTGGCCGAAATCAAGACTACATCACAAAATCTTTAATAGCTTCAAGCGAGCGCTACAAAAAGATTAAGCCAATCCATAACACTAACATGATTCAAAAACAAAACAAAATTAAAATAAAAAACAATAAATAAATAATAATAAATAATTAAATTAAAATAAAAATGTCCGTTTTGCAAACACAGAGATCTGTGACTAAAATTGAAATAATATCATAGTTGGCGAAAGTACGACCTAGGTTGAAACTGCAGACTTAACCATATCCAGATTCAGATGCTTGAGGTATATCACATCGATAGTTTTGAAAAGAACTTTCTTTTCAGAACCACCTACTTGGTGTACCAAGCATTACAGTAAATAGGTTATGTACATTTTTTTTATATTCATTAATTTCTAAACTGTATTTTATTTGTCATCATTATTTAATTCATATATATACCTTATATTTCGGCTATTTATTTTCTATTCCACAATTGTTTTAATTATATAGGACCTTATTAATCTTACTATGTTTTATTTCCTGTTATTGTTTACTGTAGTTAAATAAGTCTTAGCATTAAGCTGGTTCAATGGCACCGCCAATACACTATCACTTACAAAATCATTTTGCCAACATCTTATCATGATTTAATTGTAATTAATTTGCCCATTAACTTGTCACTGAACTTATATTTTGTGGTCCAATCAACTAATTGTATTGATAACTTGATTCTGATTGGTTTATTATCCTTTATGTATATGTAAGATCTCCCAAGTTTTCTCACTTTAACGTTGGTGAAGATAGCAGGAGCTATCAAAATATCCGTTTGATTTTGTTATAGCTTAATAAATTTGTGTTCCGCAAGTCAACTTTCAATGATTGTACACCGTTTTTTCATTGTTTTTGAATTTTATTTTACTAGGAGCATACATGCAAACCTACTCTTCAATATATATATATATATATATGTATGTATATGTATAT